AAGGGATGCACAAAAGACACCTTCTGCAGGCAGGTTCAGCGAACCAAACCTTTAACCACAAACTTATGCACATGTGCACAGAGAGCATTGTCATTCTAGAGACTGAGTGAAATACATTCTCTAGGGCATCAACACAAATTAGCAGCATCAAGGGCAGGAGATGCAAATATTCCAGCAGAATAAAGGTCCTCAAACACAGGATAGCATTCTCTATTCATTTGACCAGTCCAGTTAGCAAGAGTCTGACAAATGGAACAATGCTGCAATAGTCAGTTGCAAGTCAGGAGCAGTGAAAGTATAGTTTACTTTAAACAGTGTTTCAAAGCAGCTATTGACAGAATTCTTAAAGAAGGGAACATCCTGAACAGGAACAATGAGATGCTTGTTGACAACAGAAATAGCAGGATCCACTACTGAGACAAATCATATTTTCATAAATTCTTTTTCTATAGGATATGACTCAGCAAAGAATCTAAAGGGAAGGAACCTTTTTCGGGATCTGGCCAACCCTCATGCGAACCACAATTTGTGCTTGCAAGGGAAAAATGTTTCTAAACCTTGCCGGACATTATGTGCCCATTCAGTCTTATTTAAGCAAAGGAGATTCTGCCGGTCCTTGGCAAAGGCTAGTAAGCATTGCATTAATAAGCAAGTTCATGGTAGAAAGCATATGTTGTGAAGCCTTTGCCTATGACTCCTCCTGCATTTTATGATGCACACGCCAAGCATGAATTCTAACACACCAATTACTAAATAGAACATTTGAGGTACTGAGTTGCTAAGCTACACCAGTGCTTAAAATTCACAAATTTTTATCTTGCATCCTAAAATCACTGCTTACAGTATACAAATTATACAAATTTTTCCTCAGAAGATTGAAAAATGTTTCTGGAACAATATTCAGCAGTCTGAAATCAAACATTATGATCATGTGTGGGCATATGACCAGTATTGGAGGACAAGGAGCACAGAAGTATGGGGGACCCACAGAGCATATAACCCAAAGAGGGGGGGTGCTCATCACCACCACTGCAGTAAATTGTTGCTCTTTAACAGACCCTGCCTCATATGAGGAAGGACACCCGCACCACAGGATGTTCACATGGTCATACTATGTTCTGGAGAAGAAAGGCCTAAAAAATAAATAAATAATAAAAATAATAATATATATTTATTTTAAGAACATCCTCTTGGAATACCAAGGCCTCCAGGGGATTTATAGGAGCTGTCTTCTTATAAATTATCTGTGCCATACGTCTGCCCCCATGCCAAGCATGGTGTTTCAACCTCCTCCGGAAGTGAAAGCTGTTCGTGAAACCAGTAGAGAAAACTAATCAGGAACATGTATACTTTCAATATTGGAAACAGTTTATTACGCAAGATTAAAAGTTGTCAATTTGTGATTAGTGTAGATCAAGAATTTATACTGTATGATACTTGAAAAGTACTATTCAAAAATATGCGTTTAGAAATTTCTGTATAAGCATGTCAATACGGTTTACCTGGGTAGGGGGGTATTAGTTGTTTACAATACTAACAATACTACATTATACGCAGAACACACTACTATTAGGTATGTGTGTGCATCTTTTTCAGACAAATAATTCACAGTATTTTTTTTTTTTAAATATAACTATTAGCAGTATTGTTGGCCATTAGACTGGCAGCACACGCCATAGAAAGCAGGATTAAGATTTGTTCACATGATTAATCAGTGCCTTTGACCACCTGAAGTTGCTTGCTATTACCCAATGGTACCATAAAAAAGTGGCTGTAATGGCAAATACTACTCAAAATCTAGATCTGTACCTGTTAAGTAGGTCTTAAGAGGTTAACTAAAAGCAAGTACCTTTTCTACTTTGTCATACCTAATCTAGTAACTGCTACTTACATGTTCTTTTCGGTTTCAGATAAAAAGTTGATGAACTTCCCAAATATAAACTTGAGCTCCTGTTGGAAAATAAGTGCAATATGTAGGTAAATGGAGTACATGACAACAGAAAACAGACTACAACCTGCATGCGAACATTACCTTTTCGGTAACTTGTTTTGCTAAATTTTTCACATAGAGTCTGCAGTTTGGCTCTCCTGGCTCGTAGCCCTTGAACACAGAAATCTGGCGCATTTCTACAATAGGGAATAAACAGTTTTAAATGAAAAGGTTACTATTTATTTCACAAACTTTTCACTATACTGCAGTTTATTAACCATTTGGCGAATAAGCCCCCTTGTAATTGCTTTGGGCAGGTACTCTTTATGGAAACATCAGGGGTGGGGGGTCCTTTGCAGCACTGTAAATGTGATCGGGCAGCTGTAAAGCTACCCACATCACTTTTACAAGAAAAAGCCAATCACCAGTTGGAACCATGTTCCTGGCATAACCACTTTCTGACAAGATGTTTTAATGGGTACATCGGTCAGCAAGTGGTTAAAATATTCGAGGTTTTTTTTTTAAAGATTAACATTAAAAGGAGAACATTTGTCAAAAAAAACATATTGCTATATAAACTATTCAGTAATTTATTAAAAACGATTTATGTTTGCAATCTGCAGCCGCTCAAATTAGTAGAACTGACAAATTCAAAATGTCAGTTCTTTGTAAACCTGGCATCAACCAGTTTTCTTTTTTTTTTTTTTTTTTTGTGTTTCTGGTTCTTTACAGAAATCTGATGAGTACTTGGGGTAAAACTGCAGGAAATCCCAACGGAAGGTGTTTAATGGTGGGTAAGATTTATTTATACAGTCCTCAAAAAGTATAAAAATATTCCTATGAGCTTAATATAAAAGCAAGGTTTTTCCACTGAGCAATAACCAAAGAGACAGAGAAATGATATGATTAAAATCCACATTATTGTTTGCAACTGAAGTACATCCAAAGCCAAAATGTAATTTCTCATTTGGATAGAGTAGGAGAATGTCAAAGCCATTGTCATTTTTGGTTTGCCATCTGTGTCTCAGCTGGATTTCCCATCACTTCCTGTTCTGCAGATGCAACAGGAAGTCAGATATCTTTGCAATGGGAGGGATATCCCCTTTTAAGGCTGCCATAAAGGAGTCGAAATCCAGCCAGTTCAGCTGGGACCTGCCAAGATATGATCTATGTAGGGCAGGCTGATTGTACTCCAGTTGATCCATCGACTGACTTGGGTACAACCAGTCTGTCTGATTTTTCTTTATGTGATTATTGCCTGTGGCAATAGCCTCTAGCAGTAATCACTGTGTGCTGCAAAAGGCATTCAGTACTGATGGGGGAATCAAGCAATTTTCCTTTCCTTCAATCCGCGGTAAAAGGAAAGAAAATTGAATCATCTATGGGCTCTCTTAAGCAGTTGTCACGGTGACAAGTATCCCCACTGGAAGAACTCCTGTATTTCTGCTCTGGCAACTCCTCAAATTTTTGGATTTACACACTTTCATTTCCAGTGACATATGTGATGAAGACAATTAGAGAGTGAATTGCAGTAACGGAATACAGACAGCATTAAAAACCTGAACACTATCTAACATTAAAGGGATTCTAAAGCCTAAAGGGATTTTTTACCTTCATGCTCCCCCTCAGCACTCCCTTATACTCACCTGAGCCCTATCCTGATGTGCACAAGAGCAGAAGCTCCATCTCTTGCCTCTGCCAATCACAGCCAGTGAGGAAGGAGCAGGGGTTGGGACCAAGCCACGGAACAACTGCTGGGAGTAAGTGTAAATCTGACAAGCCAACTGTCAGCTTTTAGATGGGAGCAATCTCTTCCACAGACCTCTAACATTTGAGTAGAGAGGAGGGAGAATGTTCATTAGCTGATCTCCCCTAATAAGAAATCAGAAGTGACAGGGATTTTGTCACTTCTTGCTTCCTCACTTTCCCTAGCTGCCAGGAAGAAAAAGCTAATGGATTATGACCTATGTCCCATTAGCTTCAGTGGAGTGCATAGGATGCATCAAGTGTCTTAATGAAGAGAACTTGTCAAAGTAAACATGCCATCACACAAGAGTCTATTGGTCCCCTATGTGACAGCAATAACTTGAAGAAAAAAAAAAAAAAAAAATGCGTAAAAAAATTAAAATTACACCCAAGCACTTTAACACCCCCTCCCAAAACACAAACATTTAAGACCATCTTACCCTCACCTATATTATGTAAACACACATCATTTGCGATACACATGTTACATATCACTGCAAACAAGTACGGTGCAGTCTATGGAAAATTTTGGGTACCAAAATTTGCCATTGTTTCATGGGCGTGCAAAATTTTAAGGCTTGACATGTTGGGTATCTCTTTACTCAGCACAACCAAACAGCTTATATTTTACAAAAAAAACCCAACAGATTGTGTCTGTGTATATATTAGAATTGATCCTAGTGTAATTTTTTTTTACCCACAGAAAATCTGCGCTTGACCATTGTGCTGTCGTGTGACAAAGTTGCAATGATCACCATAAACGACCAAAACAAGCATTAGCCCACCAATGCTGCCTGCTCCTGCTTACCAAAAAATAAATGGGCGCTCACTTTGCCACAGCTGATGAAGATAGCCATTTTTAAGTCTCCTATTTGCTTAATACCCTAAATGTCAAAATTAGTCCCAAGAAGAGATGGAAGGTGAGCAAATATGAACAGATGCACAGAAATGGCCCTTCTTGCTTCCTGTTAGAACTGAAAGATTCCCTGGCTGTGCATATACTGCACCTTTTCTCCACATAATTAGAGAAAGGAAATGACCCGCTCCTGATCACAGGAGGAAGAAATATTTGTTAAAAATGTTTTTGCTAAAAGCCACAAAAAAAAAAATAATTTAATGGTCTTATAGGGAACCTACATCCACTCCCAAAACTACTCTAGTCACAAACTGGCACAATTTTTCTAGATGGTATATATTCCTCTCATGTGAGGTTTTTATTTATGGCTAACGACTACAAATATTACCACAATGAGTGACTGGGCATAAATTTACTGGCAGACTTATGGGTTATCTACATAGAAAACTTGCCTTCTTTTGAAATTCTTTTTTTCTCCAATTCCCTCCTGGAAATAAATTCTTTTGGCAAATCATCTTCAACCTCTCCGTCGTCTTCATCATCATCCTTAGATACATGAGCAGGATAGATCTTTCCAAATCCTGGCATCTCCTTACTTTGCTGTAAAATGGTCCTTGCTTCTACTTGAACAGGAGCTGTGGAAACAGAAATAGATAAATGCCATTTCTTAGTAATTGTAAGACTAAACAATTCCACCTACATTAATTGCATGCACTACAATTATAATTTACATAAATATAGATAAAAAAAAGCACAATGTTTAAAAACATTTACAGACCAGTGCAACTTCACTCTCTTAGTCAACATTGGCTATTTTAATCCTTATGCTGCTAGCATTAGTAAATAGATAGGAAGGTAGATCATATCTTCTTTTTTTTTTTTTTTTTTTACAGTTCCTAGTTTTCAGGCCTAAACAAATGATGTCATACATCCCAGGCGTCTTCAAGAGGGGTCTTTCTCAGCTAAGCACACCCTCCCTTCCTGCCTGCATGCCCCAAGCTATGGGCGGATGCATTCCAAGAAATAAATGCTACATGAGCCATCTGTTACTCAAGATGGCTACAACCAGAAATGCTAGGGGGTGTTTTTCAGTGATTTCTCAACAAAACAAAGCATGGATACATGAGTGGATGGGCAAGTTTGCTTTGAATGTTAAAAATGTTTTTGGTTTGTGGTGCTCAGATGCGGTGTGGTTCCTCTCTAATATGAACATGTATTACACTTGAATAAAAACAGCCCATTGTCAATTGTTACAAATTCAAGAAATATGCTTGTTACAAATAGTTCTATTATTACCTAGATTTTATAGAGAACAGTGTTTTGTCAACAAACCGATACATTATGATTTTACTGCAGGGTTTGCTTAAAAGTTACCCTAATTAAGACAGAAACCCTACATACCCGGAATACGGTACCATGCCTGTGTTAAAAAGTCCACCTTTTTAAGGGTCATTTTCATGTTACACCCTAAATATGGCTGTAACAAATATGGTCCCAAAAAGTGGACTTTGCCTTTAACCCTTAATTTCATCCCTGCGATTCTGTGGAGTCTACTGGATCCTAGGTCCAGGCTGTACAAGCACTAAATCCTAGGCCCACCCAGCACTATGCCCTACTCAGTTATTCAGCTCTTAAAATGACACTAAGGTACTTGCTACCACCATAAGATACCTACAACTTCAGTTGTTACTTTAGAAAGACTTGAGGCCAGGTCAGGTATACTTTATGACTTTCAAAGGTAATTTATTTTTAGGACTTTCACACAGATGTCGTCCCTTTCATGTATTTAATATGGACCAACCAAAAGTTGTGTATTGAATGCAGTCTCATTCAACTTCCCTGCTTAACAATTGCACAGAAAAGATAAAAGCCACACAATAAGTACTGTATATTGTTTTCACTAAGACAGCTGAGACAGAGTTGTATCGTGAGAAAAAGAAGTTAAAGGCACAACCATTCAGTAGTATTCCAAAGTAAACACTAAAGCAATGAACAAATAATCTCACTCCCATATACATAATCTCAAACTATATATGAATAAAGGTATTTAAAATATACAAAATGGCTAGCATTAATTATATCAAGCTTACCATCAGCAGCAATGGGTACATCTGCTGGAATGTGGAATTCCATTTTTTTAGGACCTACAATACATGGCTGTTCAAACACCTCAGATGGTAATAGTGGTGCATGTGCATGTCTGGAAAAAAAGGACAAGAAATTAAATGGCACAGAAACATTTTAACGCATTTTTCACACAGCTATCTTCTCTAGAATTCCTTTCTGAATGGAAACCTCAAGTACGTAGTAGGCAATGGAAAAACTCAATCAAAACTAACATATTGAAAAATGACAAGCAAGAAAAGCATAAAAAAAAAAAAAAGTGTACTATTGCTCTTGCTAATTCCCTAACATAGTTTTGAATATGTACGGGCCTAGTAATTTTATAAATGCCCATAAACATTCCATCTATTGTCGCACAAAGATCTACAAATATACATGATTCCAGGACTCACTGGGGTGCAGCAGGCATGCTAATAAGGTCTTTAATCCTCATCTTTTTTCGAGGACGAGATTGTTTCTTCTGACTTGGTCGCTTCGGCAGCATATCTGCCAATTCTTTAAGACGAACAGCCCTGGGTATTTCAAAAGAACAAGTCACGCAATTAAATACATTCTGCAAATGTGACTTTCCAATGCAATATTAGATACTCAAGCTAGTTTTTTTTTTATCACTAGTAAATTAAATCATACTTCCATTTGAACAATATTCCTATTAACGAGCAGTACTTAGCAACTTTGATTTTTAGACAATACCAATTCGCCATACTTAACCGCTGAGTGTACGCATATATGTGACCCAACAACAGTGTGTAAAAAAAAAAAAAAAAAAAAAAAAAAGAAAGATATATATTATTAGAAAAAAAAAACCCCACCTAGATCAAGGTTTGATCTAGGTCAGTGCCAGGGTTAGGGTCAAAAGGTCAAGGTCAGTACATTTTGGGCAGAATTAATAAAAAAATAAAATATAAAAGGTATTTAGTATTAGTGTGCTTTAGGTAGGATATATGGGAAAAAAAAAAGCAAAAACGCGCACTATTGTTTCTGAGCTGTATGAAGGGTACATACAGCAGGTAACATACAAAATATAGAATCGCTGCTTCAGCAGAATTTATTTTGGGTCATCTTTTGGTGGTAGGTTATGGAAGTAACAAGAAATATACAGCTACATTAACCACTTCCAGGCACTTTTACCCCCTTCCTGCCCAGGCCAACGTTCAGGTTTCAGCGCTTTCACAATTTGGACGACAATTGTGCAGTCATGCAACACTGTACCCAAACTAAATTTTTTATCATCATGTTCACACAACTAGATCTTTCTGTTGGTGGTATTTAATCACCACTGGGGTTTTCATTTTTTGCTAAATTACCAAAAGACCGTAAATTTTGAAAAAAAAAAACCCAACACGTTTTCTTTGTTTCTGTTATAAAAGTTTGCAAAATAAATAATTGTTCTTCATAAATTTAGGCCAAGATGTATTCTGCTACGTCTTTGGTGAAAACAATCCAAATCAGTATTTAGTCTGTAGGAAAGTTATAGAGTTCACAAACTATGGGATATATCTGAAAATTGATCAGTCTTGAAGTACTGACAGCCAATCTAATTTCTTGAGATCCAAGAATGTCAGAACAGTACAGATATCCCCCAAATTACCCCTTTTTGCAAAGTAGACAGCTTGACGTATTTCAAAGAGGCATGGCGAGTTTTTTTGTCACAATTTTTGTCATAATGTTTTGGAAAATGAAGAAATTAAAAAAATTCTTTTCACAAATTCTTTTTTTTTTTTTTTAAATACTGTCACCAGTGCAGTACAGTGCCATCATATAACTGGTGTGGCGGTGATCAGGGATACTGACTGGTGACAGCAGGGAAAAAAAAAAAATTGATCTTTTTTTTTCAATTTTATTATGATTTAAGATTTTGTTTTCATATTACACTATGACCAAATTAGTATAATGTTACCATAGTGACATTGTACTACTTTAGGGAAGTGATCGGTATTTATTTATTTTTTTTACACAATTTGATTGCTTATAGCAAAGAATTTCTTTGCTATAAGCAATCTTTTAACTGTATGAAATCGATTCATTCAGGTTTTTTTGTTGTGATTAGCGGTGATTGGCCACGGCTAATCACATGACACAAATGGGATGTGATTGGCCCAGCCTGTGATCGCTGTGACCATTCACAGCTAGATTCACTTGTGTGCAATGGATGGCATGAAAGGAAGCCATCCATTGTTTACAACTGTCATGTGACCTGCTGTGATTGGTCACAGCAGGTCACATGCTACTGGCAATGGGGCCGGTACACAGATCTTCGGCTATATTTGAGGTACACAGCCAGTGACAGATCTGGCCACAACACGCAAGCTGCAATCTGGGAAGGAAGTCATATGACGCCCTCCCGGATAGACGAGAGTCCTGCCCAGCCATCATTTTCCTATAGTCCAGGTGGGAAGTGGTTAAAAAAAATAAATAAATATAAGGATACATCCATTATCATTTACCACCAAATGAAAGCCCTGAAGAAAACTAGGTATAATGATAATTTGCTGTCTGGAGGTCCCTGCCGAGAGATGTGACTAACTGGGAAAGCCAGCATTCCAAATTTCTGGCGACACAGGTGGCCGATAAAGCCAATAAGAGGCGGGATCCCAGGCCCTCCGGAGTAAGACTTCATCTCTTTTATCCATAGGATCCTTTAGGGCTCACATATCATCAAATACTAAGTCCGTCTTTTTAGAGACTTTAGATTAAGGGGCGTCCAACTTTGGAATCTTGTTCCATGGCTGGGATCCGTTATCCTCAAAAGGAAATCTTTGAGGTTTCCTCTCAGGGTTTTCCCATTCCAGATTAATGGTATCAACTAGGGAACTATGAATGGGAAAGACCCTAGTCTTTTTAGTATGTAGACCCTGATACATGAGGTCATGTTTAGACAGGCATCCATCCTCCTCCTCGATCTCGAAAGTTTCATAGATAACCTTAAGGAGGTCGTCTACATCATCAAGGGCCAATTTTGTATCTGGAACCTCTGGAGGAGCAAACTTCACCGTCGTCCCCCTCCTCTGAGCCTGAACCCGAAAACCCCCTCCCCCCGTGTGTCACGCAAGACGTTTGGAGAAATGCTGTTTGGTTACAGTGTTGCATGACCGCGCAATTGTCATTCAAAGTGCGACAGGAAGGGGATAGAAGTGCCCGGTAGGCAAGTGGTTAAAATATAGTAATACACGGTCTCACATTGCTTTGCAGTCGCTCAGTTGATCTCCATTTTTAGCCACTGCTGAATCTGTAGAGGCATATCTGCGGACAACCTTGAAGCAGAATTAAGCTAACCCTGCTATGCTTTACAGACAAGGTAGCTGCTTCTGTTTGATCTGCAACTGCTGGGGTGCTGCATATATGATCAGTTAAGGCACCAGCCATTCGATGGTTTGACAGTTTTGCTGAGAGCCCCTACAAATGTGACAGTAATGCAGGCCATACATGGGTCGAATTCTGAACCAATTTTCTTTAGAAAATCGGAAATTTAGTGCATTTAGTAATCCGATGGTGCCACCATATATTTCAAAATTTGACCAACCAAGCCTTTAATTTCACCTCATGTCGCTACAGAAAAGAATTTTCGTGGCCAAGAATTTTCTTTTTTTTCCAGGTCAAGCTCGCACTCATTTCTTTTTCAATTACATTTCTTGTACGATTCTTCCATCATTGATTAGAAATTAGTTGGTTTTTCCAAATATTTCCAACATGTCCAATCACTCAAATTCAATGGTTGCTCGAAAATCAGCCATTATTGCAGCCCACTAATGATGCAAAATTGAAACGAAAATTCTCAGAAAAGATTTTCGAAAAAACCTTTTTGGAATTCGATCCATGTATGGCCAGCTTAAGCAAAACCAGCATTTCAGGAAAGTGACGATTTATGATTTACTTCTGTTCAGGGGCTCTGGGCCTCACCAAAATGGCAGCCTCCAGCAAGAAAAAACGGGAAAAATGCTGGAGGCAAAATAACAGCACTCACTAATTTTGGTGGCATAATTATTAATGTGGAGTGTATATTTCTTGCTAACAAACATTTTTTTTTCTTAATCAGCTCAGCTATGAGGAAAGATTAGACGAACTGAATTTATTCTCTCTTGAGAAGAGGAGATTAAGGGGGAATATGATCAACATGCATAAATATATCAGTGGTTCATATAGTGAACTCTGTGTAGAGTTATTCACCCTGAGGTCATCACAGAGGACAAGGGGGCACTCTATGGCTGGAGAAAAAGAAATGCTATCTTCAAAAACGGAAAGGATTCTTCATAGTGAGTGCTGTGAAAATATGGAATAAACTCCCTCAAGAGTTGGTTCTGGCCAGCTCAGTGGATTGCTTTAAAAAAGGCCTGGATTATTTCTTGGATACACAGAATATAACTGGATACTAACATTTATATGTAAAGTTGATCCAGGGAATATCCGATTGCCTCTTGGGGGATCAGGAAGGAATTTTTCCACCTGCAGGAGCAAGTTGGGTCATGCTTTGCTGGGTTTTTTGTCTTTCTCTGGATCAAGTGTGGGTTATAATTTTTTTTTCATGGTTGAACTGGATGGACTTTAGTTTTTATTCAGCCAGACTAGCTATGTAACTAAGTAATCAAGTTGTTATGGGTATAGGTCCACTTCATTTGTTAATTGTTCTTAGTCACAGAGTAACTTAAAAAAAGAAAACAGACAAAAACAAAAAGTAATTAACTCTGTCTGCACTGTGCTGGCAGATTTCATTATCAGTTTTAAACTAGATGTTAGACTCCATACACACACTGGGGGCCTTGAGCTGCTGGGCGGAGGGCACAGGTGTCCTGTCCAGCCCTTCTGTCAGCAGCCTGTAAAATCCTATGAGAGGCTGGCAGCTGCTGCGGCTGCACGGAATACCAACTGGTGTTTAGAACAGTATGTACCCAGCACTGAATGCTAAGAACAGAGACTTCTTGTGTTCCAGGCATTCATCACTGAGCGCATACACCTGTCCCTACAGCTAAACATCAGAGCATTATGCACCAGGGCTAAAATGCCCAGTGTGCATGGGGTTTTACACTGTTTTAACAAAGTCTTAGGATCTTCTGCACTGTATATTAATGAGGGGAACTCAGTGTGTATCTGTGACAGTGGGGACAGATTGCATTTCCCCTCATTTTAATTGTTTAGATTAGCTTGTAGTGTGCCCAAGGCCTACTCTAAACAAATACCTATAGGTGAAATGTGTGTATGATAGACATAGACACTCACACTCATCAGGAGACCTGCAGGGAAAACAGGCAGCAGGGACCAGGCCAGCAGCTTGAAGGAGCAGAATCTACTTTACCTGGTCCCCTCTAGTCACAACCAGTTAACCCCTGGTAGTGCGGGAGCAGCCCCACTGCAGGGAGGACTTTTACTTTTGGAGTTCAGCTCTAATGCAGGCCATAGATGGGGAGAAAAACTGCAGATTTTTCTTTTAAAAAACGAAAAATCGGTTGTTCAAGTGGCCGACGTTACCATCAATGGTAAAAAAAAAAAAAAAAAAAAAAAAAAAAAAAAAAAAAAAAAAAAAACAATCGGCCGATTTTCTACCCGTCTAGAGCCGGCAAAAAGTGTCCCTGCAGAGAGCTCTACTATTTCTTTGACAGTTCTCTGACAGTTCCTTGACATTTATAGAAGTTGCAACAATGTATCTATTTGTTTCCATTTAGGATACAGATGTTTTTATTCGGAAACAAATAGATACAATGTTTCAACCGCTGTAAATGTCAAGGAACTGTCAGAGAACTGTCAGAAATAGCGGAGCTCTCTGCAGAGACACTTTTTGCTGGACTGGAATTCTTCTTTCATCCTCATCCTCCTCTTCATCCTCCTCCTCATCCTCCTTCCTCTTCCTCCTCCTCATCCTCCTCTTCTTCTTCATCCTCCTCCTCCTCTTCTTCTTCATCCTCCTCCTCCTCATCCTCTTCTCTTCTTCATCCATCCTCCTCCTCCTCCTCTTCTTCTTCATCTTCCTCATCCTCCTCTTCATCATCATCCTCATCCTCCTCTTCTTCCTCATCCTCCTCTTCTTCCTCATCCTCCTCTTCTTCCTCATCCTCCTTCTTCTCATCCTCCTCATCCTCTTCTTCATCCTCTTCCTCATCGTCTTCCTCTTCTTTTTTTGTCTTCCTCTTGCAGGTCACTGCTCATGCGCAGATTTTTTATCGGTAAAAAATCGGCGATTTGCCCACTAATTGCCGCGAAAATCGGCCGATCGGCAAAATCGGCCGATTTTTTTCCAACTTTACCGAAAAAAAAAAAAAAAAAAACGGCCAAAATACCGAAAAACGGCCGACCCAAATCGCCCACTAACGATCCGAAAATCGGCCGATTTTATTTTCGGCCGAAAAATCGGCCGATTTTCGACCCATCTATGGCCTGCATAAATGGAACTCAAACAGCCCCAAGGGCCATTAAAGATACTTAAGTGCCAACAGTTGTGTTTGCTAATGTACAGTCATTATTTTATTCGTGCTTGAAAGGGAAAAAAAAACCCAAAAAACTTTTTTTATGAATAACTTGACCTGACACAAACACATAGTCTGATTACAAATTGCGATACTCATTCAGCCCAAATTCACCAACAAACAGCAGGTCTCGAATAGCAAATTTGACAGGCGAGTTCAATATTTAGAAAAAGGACAGTCCTTACTGATTACTAATGAGGGTCAGAATATTGACAGGGTGTACTGGAAAACTACTATGTTCCAATACAATATTTAGTCCAACGATTGCATATGTGTGGTTTAAAAAAAAAAAAAAAAAAAAAAAAAAAAAAAAGTAAGTGATTAATTCACTAGTGATTATCACTAATTAATGGGCTTCAATATTTCTGGTAGCACATTTACAAGATTGTGTTTTATAACCAAACACCGAGATAGTCTGACACCCTAATGCATACCGACACGTTATATTCTTTATTGACTTGTACCACTTATGAAAGCAGACTGAACAGATTTTCTAGCATTTCAGTCCAGACCTACCTCTCCTTTTCTTCGTCATCTCCACTTTCATACTCTGACTCTTCTCTGCTGGACACATCCATATCATAGTCGTCATCCAGTTCTGGTAGTGGAGGGTTCTCCGGAAGGTCAGGTGGGACTGGTGGGTATAGTGTCGGTGCAGAAAAATGATCTGCATACTGATGCAACAGATGTGAAAAAAAAAAAATACCTTATGACAGTTCAAATGCCTACACAAGTACAGAAAAACTTTAAAACATATCACCCGCTGGCTCAAAACACAAACAGAAAAAATGCTGCTCTCGGTAAAACAAACAAACAAACAAAAAAAAAAAACTTCACATGCTTACACATCTCTGCCAATGTCCATAGTTTATGAATTTTCACTGTTTCCTACTGTAGACCCCCATGTTGCTTTTATGTCCTGCAGTGTCCTAAAGGTCAGAGCAAGGAACCAATAAAAGCTGCAGGGGGACAGGGCAGAAGGACACTTACGAAGTGTTGGTTTCCCAGTATACAGCATTCTTTTGAGTGGTAGATTCTTGAGGGAGCAACATATTTGATAGGATCACTCGAATATGCAATATTTCATATTAATAAATACACTATATTGCCATAGGTAGTGGGACACTCCTCCAAATCATTGGATTCAGGAGTTCAAATCACCTCCATGGCCACAGGTGTATAAAATCAAACACCTAGGCATGCAGACTGCTTCTACAAACATTGGTGAAAGAATGGGTCGCTCTAAGGAGCTCAATGAATTCAAGTGTGGTACCGTGATATGTTGCCACCTGTGTGATAAGTCCATCCGTGAAATGCCCTTGCTACTAAATATTCCACAGTCAACAGTTAGTGGTATTATAACAAAGTGGATGCAACTGGGAACAACAGTAACTCAGCCACCAAGTGGTAGGCCACGTAAAATGGTCCGCGCATTCTGAAGTGCAGTGAGCAGAAGTCACCAACCGTCTGCAGAACCAATAGCTTCAAACTTCGTGTGTCCTTCAGATTAGCAGAACAGTGCGTAGACAGCTTCATGGAATGGGTTTCAATGGTCGAGCAGGTGCATCCAAGCCTTACACCACCAAGTGCAATGCAAAGCATGGATACAATGGTGAAAAGCACACCACCACTGGACTCTAGGAAAAGTGGAGATGTGTTCTCTGGAGTGACAAATCACACTTCTCTGTTTGGCAATCCGATGGACTTGCCTGGGCTTGGCGGTTGCCAGGAGAATGGTACTTGCTTGACTGCATTGTGCAAAGTTTGGTGGGAGGGGATTATGGTGTGGGGTTATTTTTCAGGGGTTGGGCTTGGCCCCTTAGTTCCAGTGAAGGGAACTCTTACGGCGTCAGCATACCAAGACATTTTAGACAATTTCATGCTCCCAACTTTGTGGGAACAGTTTGGGGTGGTCCCTTCCTGTTCCAACATGACTGTGCACCAGTGCACAAATCAAGGTCCATAAAGACATGGATAAGCGAGTTTGGGGTGGAGAAACTTGACTGGCCTGCACAGAGTTCTGACCTCAACCTGACAGGACACCTTTGGGATTAATTAGATCGGAGACTGCGAGCCAGGCCTTCTTGTCCAACATCAGTGCCTGACCTCACAAATGAGCTTCTGGAAGAATGATCAAACATTCCCATAGACACTCCTAAACCTTGTGAACAGCCTTCCCAGAAGAGTTGAAGCTGTTACAGCTGCAAAGGGTGGGCCAACTCAATACTGAACCCTACGGACTAAGACTGGGATGCCATTAAAGTTCATGTGCGTGTAAAGGCAGGCGTCCCAATACTTTTGGCAATATAGTATATATAATGTTTTTTAGTCCTGGTTGTTATTATAAGGGAATCATGTTAATATATAAACCACAAACACTATATAGGTTAACCAGCTAGAACGTTTTGGATCGTAACTGTAAACCCATGCAAATGTACAAAGTCATAAGTATGCTGTGTGTTAAACACAGTGCACAAGACAATGTAATACAAACATCTGCTCACCAAAGGAGGCTGCGCAGTAAGAGGTCCAAACGGAGCAGGGAGATTCAATTTGTTCATTAAATGCAACACCTAAAATAAAATGTATCTTATTAAATAGCAAGGATACCAATTACCGTATTGTACAGATTGTACTGTACTAAAATTAAATGCATGCAGCTTAAACAAAGCATAACCCATTATGCATTAAGATTTGACTGAAAGTATAACAGAAGGATATTCCTTAGAGCTCCAGTGTAACAGTTAAGAGTTGGTTCACATACATGTGAATTGGATGCATTTTTGAACCGCATCCAATTCACATGACATGTGAAATAACATTTATTGCTATTGTGTCTTTTCACATATATGCAGTGCAAAGACAGCGCAGATTGAAAGGGAGCCCTGTCAGCTGCCTGAGCAGAGAGGTCCGGCTTAGGTGCGATTTTAGGCTCACTGACTTTCTGTACATAATACAGAACTCCAAGTATACCCTAACTGATCTCACAAATTGATAGTTCACATAGCAGATCCTTAACCACTTGACGACCAGGCCATAGCCGAATGACAGCTACAGCACGGTCGTCTAGTTCTGGGAGGGCTTCACGTGGCATCTTCCAGAACTGCACCTCCTGTGTGCCCCCAGCAAGCTCTGATCGCGGTCTGTCGGACACAGGTAAAAAGCCAATCACAGTGCCCCTTTACCATGTGATTAGCTGTGTCCAATGACACAGCTGATCACAATGTGAATAGAGTTGCTGGTTATCGGCTGCACTTTCCTCACGCTGTCACAGAGTGAAGAGAGCCGGTAATCAGCAAATGTATTTCAAAAAAAAAATCAGAGGCAGTCCAGTGCAGCCCCCAGCCCCAACAGTGTACATCAGTGCAATCCAACAGTGTCCATCGGTGCAGCCTCATCAGTACCCACCAGTTCAGCTTCATCAGTGCCCATCAGTGGTGCATATTTGTGCAGCCTCATCAGTGAAGGAGAAAAATTGCCTGTTTGGGGGGGGGGGGGGGCATTTCTGGGAGTAGTTATATTGTGACTGGAATTCCACTGTAATGACTGAGACCTATAAAGAAAATTTCACCATCTCTACCATGAATATGGAGGTGGAGCTTTTTTGGGCCACTTAAAGCAGTAATAAACCCAAAACGTAATATATTGCAGCTTACCAATAATTAGATGTGGTGACAGATTTATACTCACCAACAAGACTCCAGCTCACATGCAGTTAAAGCAACAGGTTTTTTTTCCCTTTTGGGATTAAGGTTTTAAATAAAAGCTTATCATTTGAAGCACCCCTGACAGTGGTAAATGGTCTGTCACAACACTTAAAACTACTACATTTGCAGAACCACAAAATGGAGAGAAAAAAAAAAAAAAAAGGATCCCTGCTGAGCAGGCAGATGGTAGATCCGTGTCTGCTCCGTTTATGCAGAACGGGCACTGATACAGCGAGCTTTCCTCTATGGGTGGTCGGATGTAAACAGACCACCTGTCCCTTTTACATCAGATGTCATCCAATATGCTAGCCAAATGAGAAACCGATCCCCTTCCATCTGTTTTTAGCGGGTCTGATGCAGGCAGTTGTAAACGGACACATCAGTTTACATCCACCGCTCCATATAAGGCAATGGGTGGTCCAATCAGGTCCACCTAAAAAACATACAAGCGAACCTGATTGGTCCGCCCGTGTGAAAGGGGCCAAAAAAAAAAAGCAAACTATTACAGCCTTCACATCTAAGAATTGGTAAGCTGCAATATAATAAATGTTTGCTTTCGGGTTCAATACCGCTTTGAGCAGGGTCATGTTATTTCCTTTATTGGTAAGATTTGTGTAAGAATTGTACTATTCGGTGTTGCCTAAAATCCGATTGTGAACCATAAGAAAATAGAAGAATGTGCTTGGTCTGCTTATTTATTTTTCCATAAAAATGCTCCACTACACAATTCTAGTCAAGGATGGTCAAAACAACGCTGTTCAATTAGACATCTATTGCAATTTTATCAAATAGAATAAAATCTGCATCTTCACACTGTAAAGATATAAACCATTAATTTTTTTTTAGAAAAACATTAAATGTAATTGTAAATGTTACTTTTGGAACTTTAAAAATAAAGAATGTTTACAAAAATGCTTCATATATTACAAACTAGCCCACAAGCAGCTGTCTCCCACATTCTGCATTTGTAAATGTCCTAACGTGCAAAGAAATGGAGGCCTTATTCCACACAACCAATTGCTATGAAAGTTTAAAGATTATCTGTTCATTCCATCTGACAAACTTCTTTTCAGGAATGAGCTTAGTCGTAGGCGGAGGATAGTTGCATGGCAGGACACCTGTGGTACAGTTACAGTGACCACATGTGAGTTTTGGTGTGCGGACATGGATGGCCCCAGGATGGCCTAGGAGGATGGTGTCCTCCCCATACTCTGGGTGATTATGCAAGTCACCAAAGCATGTTGTTGAAGATGTCAAATTATGGTTTTAGCTTTTTTGTGTTATATACATCTTTGTAGATATTTTCCTTATTTTAGGTTATTCTACTCTTTTGTAGAAATACCCCTAATCCCTGATGAAGATTGCGAATATTAATTGAAACACGCTGTGGATCTTTTAGCAGAAAGAAGTTCACCACAAGATACCTGTCTAATTTTCAGGGGTTTGTCTTGCTGTTTTTAACCTGCCAAAGTATTGTACAATAATTAGCATTTAACAGCGCATTGTACAATAAAATATTGGTTTTACATATTTATGTCCCATGGGAAGTAGCAGCGTCCATTGGGGATGTAGCAAATAGCATGTTGTAGACGCAGTAAACACTGGTTCAGTGAGGTTTTTGTTTTCCCAGTTGTTATTTGTTCCATGTTTTAATAGGATGGTATGATTACAGTATACCATTTATTTTTATTTAGTATTAATTTGCCATTATTGTGTCTTGTATCAGTTCATTATTGTGTTGTCTTCGTTGAATGTCACTGAATCTTAATAAATTCCCTTTGGGATTAATAAAAGTATTCTGAATCTGAATCTTGTAATTTAGAATGAGGTCTCCATTTCTTTGCATGCTGGGATACTAAAGAATGAATTTACTAAGAAGTTGCATGCAGCAGTATGCATTTATTTTGTACCAGAAGAGCAAAAAATGCTTGGGGAAAAAAAAAAAATGTATACTGAATACTTAGCAATGGTAACTGTATTGTTAATTAACGGTTTGAATGGCTCTTGCCTAATGCACAGTTCTTCAGTGCTTGTCAGTATGCAGTCCCCATCTTCTTGTTCTTGCACTCATCTGTATTTGCTGTGGTAGTGCTACATAAACTGTACACTTTAATTACATTTTAAGTTAAAGAATGTATTTAAACAGGTTTTACCTGGACATAGAACTTTGGGACACTTGCTAGGGCATTTGCAATGTTTGCCAAAACTGTGCTTGTAGGAGGTGGATATAAGTACTTTAGGCTGGATTTTATTGGGAAAACTAGCCTGATTTAAAAAAAAAAAAAAAATCATTAAGGCATTTTATCAGCACATGAACTAAATAAGTTTGTTATACAGAACCCATCCTAAAATATTTCAAAAACCATATGTAAAATACCATGTTTTTTACACCACTAGTTTGCTATTTTAACCAGAAGCAGTTTAAATGAGAAGTTCACCTTTGGGAACATGTTACATCCATTTTTAGGGTGGAACATGTAACATGTTCCCACTCCTACAACGTCTCCCAGCTCCATCTAGTGACAGCTAACGGGGGGATCCTCTCCGCCTCCCCGGCTGCATCATTCATTCACAGAATTTGGTGAATGGAAAAATACAAGTCCCAGCAACCTTTGCAGCTGTCGGCTTGTAGTTCTCAATGAACTAGCATAGCACTGTGACAGTTCATTGTCTCCTCCTGTCAGTGTGTATCTGCCTGCCCGTATGAGCAGACAGAAACACTGACAAGTCTGCAGGAAACCTGCATGGCACCTGTGATCAGTGGTGCCATGCTTTACAGGCTCCTAGTAAAAAAATATATAATTTATAAATAAATAATAATACATTTTTACCTGCAAAAATATATTTTTTTTCTAAAAAAAAAGGTGAACTTATCCTTTAACACTGCCGTTATGATAGTATTAAATAAGTTCACATTGGGAACATGTTACATTTTCCACCCATTTTTAGGGTTGAACACTTCCCATGTTCTCACTGATGCATGCCTCTCCCTGATCCACCTCTAGCGACAGTGAGGGTCTTCTCCCCAAACTCACTGTCATAATTTAAAAAAAAAAAAAAACGAACACATTCATTCATTCACATAGTTCCATGATTGGTAAAGCTACAACTACCATCAGTTTGTAGTTTTCACTGAACTACCAGACTGCTGATGAGTGCTCTAGGTAGTTCACTGATGCTTACTTTCATTGAGGTATAAGCAGAAAACTTGCACTGACAGTCTGCAGGAAAAAGTCGGAAGTGACGAAAGTCCCTTGTGAAAAAGTCGAAAGTGACGAAACGCGTCAGTGTTGTGACGTCAGACGCTAGGCCGGAAGGAGAAAGCGCGGCCATTTTTGAGGTGGTCTCAGCATAGAACGGATTTAGTCAAGGATGGACGGTACTTGTTGATAATGTAAGCTGCTAATAAATTGTGTATCCTATATTCATTACTCCACTGAGTCTGCCCCTATCTGTTCTGTGAGGAACGGGGATCCCGATGCCCACTGCTGCATGAGGAAGGGATTCAACTGTGCACTGCTACTAAAGGAAAGCATACTCCCAGTGAAGGCAATCCCATCTGGTAGAAGGGAATTTCAGAGTGCTTTGAAAGCAGAAAGAGGGTAATTGTATATTATCCCATAAGCAGAGTGGTGGCACCTTTTTTGGCACAATTTTTTACTGATCACTTATTGTGTATGTGTGGCATATCACGTATTGCAGTGGTTGTTTCACACAGGGCCACTAGTGAAGTGGTGTGTTGATTTTCACCTCACATGTGTGATGCCTATTTATTAGTATATGTATATCACCAGTGTGGTTGCATGATATCACTTATAATTTTATAAAAGAATGCACTATATTTAGCTTATTTTTTTGAGGTTCTTTTGGATTGAAGGGAAGATTTGGACATTTTCACAGTTTGAAGATTGGAGAGCGAGGACTATAATTTTTATTTGTATCTTTATTTTTATGTTTTATTTTTTATTTTATTTTTTGGACTTTTAATTTTGAATTTGGGACTTTATTATGGACAGTATATTAGCAGTTTGAGACTGCGGGAGAGGTTACGTGTGTATGTAGATCATTGAAAAGGTTTATGCCAGTCTGCAGGAGCCTTGCATTGCTCCAGTGATCTGCTGATTGTGGGTGCAATGCTTCACAGGCTGCTAATAAAAAATAAATAAATGCACATTTATCTCTACCTACAAAAAGATGTGCATTTATTATTTTGTAAGGTGAACTTATTCTTTAAAGTGACGATGTAAAAACAATGTGATAACAAATACTACATCATAGATTCTTATTATGGAGTTTAGTCTATCGTCAACCATTTCTACATTTCTTTACCTTTAATGACCAATGAACAAATTATGCAGTCAGCCATATTAAACTCAGCTCTTGACAAGATGCCTATTACACTTGTCCTTGTCCAAGACGACAGTACAAGCAGGGCTTCATTCAAAATTATAAGAAATTACAGCAAGTGTTAAAAACACAGACACACACAATATCCTGGCCACCATTCCAGACACCACTGCACCTAGCGGTCGTGATGCCCCATGCTGCCAGTATAGCCAGGCTGTACACTTCAATGCACAGCCCTTGAACGTGTATCCATCAAAAGGCTTACAATGGCAAGCTCTCATTTTTCAGCACAACCACATGGCCATGTTGACAAATCAGAAACACTTCTTTGTTCTGGGGTATCTTACTTGAAGAAGAAACATCAAATGCGCTTAAAGTGGAGTTCCACCCATTTTTTTAAAGTGCATCTCTGTACATTGTACAGGTAAAGCACAAATTTGGATTATTTTTTTTTCTTTTTTTGTATTATAAATACCTTTAAAATCCTTTTTAGGATTGCAGTTCCAGTCCTAGCTGCCTAGGCGATAATGTTGTAAGGCGAATCGTAAGGTCTCCTGGGATGTCGTGTCCCGTTTCCCAGAAGTCCTTTGGGTTCCTAGTATCGCAGTACTCCAAAACCGGAAATGCTGCGAATGGGAGGAGTTTGGCGCCATTTTACCAGAGTCCTGTTTGTGGAAGACATGGATGCTGTGTGCTGCAGACTGCGCTGTTCTCTAAAGCTGGAATTGCAGAGTGTGTGTACATTGCACTCTATCTAGTTAGCTTCGGCACTTTGTTAACTATCTTCTGTCTGGGCAATCAACTTTTAATCAGATGTGGTCACTCTTGACGAGCTAACTTTCTGTGGTTTAGTTACGGTCATGGTGACAACTGGCTGTAGATATATATAGCTATATTTCGCGACGCAACAAACTAGAAATGTGCTAAACTGATGTTCTCAAAATTAACATGCAATATTATGGTTGTGGGGCTTGCTCCACTTCGAGACTTCACTTTCCTTCCCCATGGAGTGAATTGATGTACAGGTTGCCATAAGGGAGCGGGAACATCCGCCGCCCCCGCCTATGTTATGGCAACCTGTAGTACACAAGTCACGCCGAGCAGTGTCAGTACTGTGCAAGCGTGAGATCGAGTGCTGCATGCTGGGATAGCCAGCAGCACCAATTCCAGGAAGTAAAAGACCTGCAGGCTTCAGATGCCCACAGCCATCATGGCGCCTGCCTGCTTCCGAGATCCTTGTAAAGTTTTAACTTATTTTAAAGTAATTACAATACTATTACTAATTACGCTATCCAAACCGTGGATCTGCTTTTAAAAAAAAAAAAAAAAATGTATTCTGGGGACTGGAGCTCCGCTTTAACGTTAGTCAAAACACTCATGTGACTGCACTGACCAATGAGCGCTTGCCATTGCGAACATTATGATGGCGCACTCTGAAGCGGTGTATTGCAATGCACAGACTGCTAAACTGAGGGTACAGGGCATCAAAACCGCTATGTGCGGCAGTGTATGGAGGAGTAGCCAGGATAATAAGAGTTCACATATGATCGATATTAAGATAAGATGGCTGTTTAAATAAAGAAGTATGTAGAGGACACAGGAGAGCTCCATATTTCTTACAAGATCAACCGTTTTTTTTTTTTTTTTTGCACTTAACAGATATAACAAAAAGGATTGCAATGGTATATTTAACAGACCATAAAAAGGAGCAAATAATAAAAGTTCATTTGTGAGGTTTACGTTCACCATTTATTTGTTAGCAATGTTAACATTGCCATCTTTCATCTAATTTGTAAAGACTATATATTGGCTACAAGCGCTAATCAAATGCTGGTTTTCCAACATGACTATTCGACAGAAGCTGGTTGTTAACAGACAATAGTACAAAGCCAGACGATTTCTGCTGAACCAGCCAATTTTCAGTCCATGTATACTCTGCTTTAGTGTCAGATAACTACAACACATTACTAATGTGAGCCTCTGCAGTGACCTATCCTATAAGTTTTCAAATGGTTTCTCTACTGAACCAGTCCTTTATTCTAGAGCCAACTTCTATTCCAACATCATATAAAAAAAAAAGTTATATCAACAAAAGTTTTAAAATGCCTATGCTGTCAAAATCAGTTTATCAGGACCTCATGATTGCCAGTGGTATGACCAAATGTCTAGATTTTGCTGAAAAGTAACATCATAATTCAGAGTAGAGGATCCCCGACTTTAAAGCTGGGTCACATGACTGTCACCACAGGATCTCAATGTAGCAGGCCTTTTGTTAAAGCAAAAACAAACTGCATGGAAATATGTGGCTCCTAAATGCTTTTTCCACAATGTGCAGGTTTGCACAGCATATTTGCATAATGTGACACACTTAACTGCTTAACTGTTCCTGCTCCCCTCATCACCAGGACTTCCATCGAACCTAGGTCTTTTTCTGGGTTCAGTCTTCAGCCTGCCTTGATTGGTCCAGGTGGAAAATAGTAATTGTGTATGCCCATGTAAGTTAGCTACTTTGTTCTGGCACAAAAATTAGGCTTAGGCCATACGCTGAGCTGTGGCTCTGCTTACAATTAGGGTTTGTTCATAACATGTTCACTGAGCTACGCTGATCTGCATACATCAAACACCGGCCAAAGACAGATGAACAAGAAGAAAAATAATAATAATAATAATAATAATAAAAAAAAAAAAAAACCTGAGTGCACCGCTCGCATCATAATGCTATGTCGAAGTGATGTTGCAGTGCACTGCATAAAAATCTAGTATGTCACTGTCGCACAATCTGTTTTAGCACTACACACCATCTTAGGTGATTGTCATCAGAATTTTTTATAAAGCAGGAACAAGTGTCCCTATTTAGCTGAACATGTTTAAAAGATAATAACTATAGGATAAATACTAGAGAGCTAACCAGTAGGGAAGAGTGCTTAAGAACCAGCAAATATGGTATGTACATGCTGGGAAACACCAAGACACAGGCACACAATATTATGTCCTTGCAGTGCTTTATAAAACCAGATCTCAAAATAGATGTTTACAAACTTGCTTCCAAGGAAAACCTTGGTGCGGATTTTTGATTAAAATTTAACTGACATACACTTTATCATAGCTGACCAGTGAAAACTCGCACAGCTGCTGAAATCTTATCTCCTCCAGGTCATACTGGAGTTTTTCAATAGCTGTAAAAAAAAAAACCAAAAAAAAAACCACTTGTACAACAATTTATTATTTTAACTTTACAACAGAATAATATAGTGTATCATTATGACTGTAAGAGCCTAAGACTTCGCTTATACGTCAATACAGAGCACTTATACAGAGTACAGAAACAGCATCCATACACTTAAATGTGAATTAATAAAAATATCAGTAAGACTGACACCGCTGACCGTTCCTTCTAGCTTGGTTAGTTTCCTGGCGATCGTACTAACGTTTAACGCTTTCACTGCCAGAACTTTTTTCTTCATTTTTCACATATATAAAGAGGTTTATTTTTGGTTTGAGAATTCACATTTGTTTTAGAACATCACCATTGTTATATCATTTCATGCTTTGAGAACTGCTGCTATCAAAATCCTGGATTCTCTGCATGCTTTTCAGCTTTTCCTCTGCTGTTTACTTTCCATTTCTAAAAAGTCTACATATGCTGTAGTACCTTGCTGCCTGCAAGCAGTGATTCCAGCACTGGCTTCGCCTCCTGAAACTCCTCCTCTCAGCACCTCTGTAGTTCAGAAGGCAGGTTCTGTGAAATGTGTGATACAGCAGTGCTAATCACAGGGCATAATGAATGTGTGCTACAGATATCAAGGAAGTAAATGCACAAAGTAACTTCCAGATCGTTCAGAGTAATAGAAGTAGGCTGGAAATAATTTAAATCACAAATGGAAATGATATGATTTTACAGTTTTACCATAGATACAAGTTAAGGTGTACGTATATGCTAAAAATTAATTTTCTTTTTTTGTCCTCTTTTAAACTGTTAAATATACAATTGAAAGGCTTTTGTTAACATGCCATCTGTTCAATTAAAAAAAACACAAGAAAAAACCTGTTGATCATGTTCCATTTATACTCCTTGAGATAACAAAGGAAGAATAATTAGCCCTCTTGTTTCTTATCTTGGACTGCAGAACAATTAACACTATGTATTGAAGATGAGGAGGGGGGAAGAGAGTCAGTAGTAGGCAAATGACGGCGCTCACACTGTCAGTTCACAAAGATTCTGTCTGTTGCCAGCCCAAGACAAGAAATTAAGAGTATTGGTAGCGGATTACTTGATTTTTTTTAATGGGTGAAGTTCCTCTCCAAATGAAACTGATCTGCAACAGGTACTATATATGATGATGTCTGACAGCAAAGCTTAGTGCTTCCTGGGAGCCAAGCATTTTTTTCAACCTACTTAGCTATAAAATGTTAAAAGGAACTAAACTGCATCTGAGCACCACAAACCAAAAATGCCATTGAATTCATTTATAAAACTTAAAAATAAACTCATCCATCCAGCCACATATCCTTGCTTTATTTTTCTAAGAAATCACTTTAAATAACACCCTCCAAGCATATCTGGTCATGGACATCTTGAGTAAGGCTAGATTCAAACCTCTGCGTTCCTGCGGGCTGCGTTTTGCGCAGGCACGAGTGTCCATTCATTTGAATGGACTCCCGTGCCCTGGGACACGCAAGGAAGAAGTCCCTGCACTTCTTTGGAAAACGCAGACCACACAGGAACCCCAGTAAGGTTGCGATTTACAGTGTGGGCGGTGTGCCATTAGAATTAATGGAACCCGCCCGCAGGTCGCATTCCTCTGTGAAGGTGGTGATCCGCAGCGGCACCAACTGCACAGATGTTAACCTAGCCTAAGGGCAGATCATTCATGTAACATCCTGAAATCCATCTGCCCTTCGCTCATGCTCATGGGGTGTGCTTGGCTGAGAAAACCCCTCCTACCCTCCTGAAGACTCTTGGGATGTAGGACAATATTTTCTTAGGAACTGAACAAAAAAAAAAAAGCTTAAAACAAGTAAATATGTTGATGATAATGATGATGTTCTCCATTGATGGAACTTTTTTTTTCCTTGTTGTAATTACCATTTGAAAAAAAAACAAAAAAACAGCCGAGTTTCACTTTAACTACGGAGAGACCCTATGTGTTTAATTGCAGGCAATGCAATGACACTTATAAATGCTATACAAATGTAATCAAAATAGTAGATGTAACAAACAAGGCAAACTTAATGCATACCCATGATTTGGTGCTATTCCCCTCTCAATGGAAACCTGGCTTGGGAGTTTTGAGTCTTTACATTCATCGGCTTTCTCACCACTGTTGAGAGAAGACAGGAAGGCAAACAAACGTCACTTGTACTTTCAAGGTCGGAGTGTTTTGGCAGAAAAAAAACAAAAAACACCTGACGCACCTAAATGCAAGTAAACATGCCTAAACGCTAGGTGTGTTTAGCGCTTGAGTGGTTCCCCCCCATTTCACAGCCACAATAAATATTCTGGCGAATTAAGTTAAAGCGGAACTATACATAACTCGGTTCCAGCGATGCAGCATACCCCTGCTCCCTGCCTGGCCGCTGACATCTTTAAGCGGCTGGCTTCCAGGACTTCAGGCCGCAGTCATTGGCTGGGTGGGGATGACGTCAGTCCCACACATGCGCGGGAGTTCAGTAAGATTTGGCATTGCCGAATTAATACAGTGAGATGCGCATGCGCAGATACACAGGGTGCACCCAGCTGTCAATTCTCTATTATTCTCAATGAGAGGGTTTCATGCATGCAGGGCCACTGGCTCCTGGGAGGCTGTAAATACAAGCACACTGGAGCACTGTAATATGCACTTATGGGACCATGTCCTCTCAGCACAGGTTTGCTAAAAGAAAAACAAAAAAAAAAAAATGACAGTAGTACCTCGGTTTACAAATTTAATTAGTTCTGCAGGACTTTTCGCACAGTGAAAAATTTGTAAACCAAAACGTTTTTTCCCATAGGAATGCATTGAAAACCAATTAATCTGTCACGAAGGTCGGAAAAAAGTAAACGCAGAACGAACTAAAATACTGCATGAGTTATGTTATCAAGTCAAGGGCCTCTTCCCCACAACCCTAGCCAGTGGTTGTGGGGGTCTGCGGGCAGGGGGGCTTATCAGAATCTGGAAGTCCCCTTTAACAAGGGAGCCCTCAGATCCTGGCCCCCCCCCCCTTACCCATGTGAATGAGTATGGGGTACATGGTACCCCTAGTCATTCATAAAAATACACACAAAAAAAGGATAGTGTGAAAAAAAGACCAGACACTGTCTTTGACAAGTCCTTTATTAAAAAAACTAAAAGAATGTCCCCCACAGTAGTTCCAACGTCAATCATGATGCCCGTCGTCACCACCGCTGCAGACGATGGCTTCCAGCCCTCTGCCTCTGAGCTGGCTTGACAGTTCTTAAATATGTAAGGGGTGGGGCCACCCGGGGACATCACCTGAGTGACCCCGCCTCATGTAACATCATCAAACAACTGAAGCAGGGAAGCAGGCATTTCCTGACCTGCCAGGCTGCATGCTCGGATAAAAGTTCTGGTATGGATTTGGGGGGGGGGGGGGGGGGGGGGGGGGGGGGGGGGGGGGGGGGAGGGGGGGGGGGGGGGGGGGGGGGGGGGGGGGGGGGGGGGGGGGGGAGGGACAACCATGTCATTTTTTTTTTTTTAATTTTGGCATGGGATTTCCCCACAACATCCATACCAGACCCGAAGGGCTTGGTATGGATGGGAGGGGGGACCCCACGCCGTTTGTTTTTTTTTTATTATGGTGCCGGTTTTTAAATGTAATTACAGCTTTTTTTTTCTTCACTATAGCTCAGAAATTCAGCTGTCACTTTCCCTCGCTAAAAGAAAGAAAGTTTTCTTTTAGTTTATTTCCGGAGTTGAGAAACAATGTTTCCTTTTAGTTTCTTAAGAGAAACAAAATTTCCATTAACTCCGGGGAAAGTGACAGCTAATTCTGTGAGCTATAGTGAAGAAAAAAAAAAGAGCCGGCAATGGCATTTAAAAATCGGCACCGACATACACTTCATATTGCGAAAAAAAAAATCCTAAAAAAAAATTAGTAAACCGAGGCATTATTTTTTCAATGAATTTTCGTTCGGAAACCAAAAATTACGTTAACCGGAGGCGTTTGTAAAAAAAGGTATTACTGTAATATATATGATATATTAGGATATTAGGAAACCCCAGTAAAGGAAAGTTGGTGAATATACATATATACACACACATACAATATTGCCAAAAGTATTGGAACGCCTGACTTTACTGGCATCCCCAGTCTTGAGTGCCCACCCTTTGCAGCTATAACAGCTTCAATTCTTCTGGAAAGGCTGTTCACAAGGTTTAGGAGTGTGTCTATGGGAATGTTTGACCATTCTTCTAGAAGTGCATTTGTGATGTCAGGCACTGATATCGGACGAGAAGGCCTGGCTTGCAGCCTCTGCTCCAATTCATCCCAAAGGTGTTCAAAAGGTCAGGACTCTGTGCAGGCCAGTCAAGTTCCTCCACCCCAAACTAGCTTATCCATGTCTTTATGGACCTTGCTTTGCGCACTGGTGCACAGTCAAGTTGGAACAGGAATTGACCAGCCCCAAAGGGTTCCCACAAAGTTGGGAACATGAAATTGTCCAAAATGTCTTGGTATGCTGATGCCTTAAGAGTTCCCTTCACTGGAGCTAAGGGGCCAAGCCCAACCCCTGAAAAAACAACCCCACACCATAATCCCCCCTCTACCAAACTTTACACAATGCAGTCAGGCAAGTACCAATCTGTCAACTGCCAAACCCAGACACATCCATTGGATTGCCAGAGAGAGAAGCGTGATTCGTCACTCTAGAGAACACATCTCCACTGCTCAAGTCCAGTGGTGACGTGCTTTACACCACTGCATCCAATAATTTGCATTGCAAAAGTGATTTAAGGCTTGGATTCAGCTGCTCAGTCTTGGCAACCCATTCCATGAAGCTCTCTACACATGATTGTTCTGCTAATCTGAAGGCAACACAAAGTTTACAGGTCTTTAGCTATGGACTCTGTAGACAGTTGGTGACTCCTGCATGCTGTGCTCTTAGGCTGCTTTCACACTGAGTTTTTCAAGTGTTTTTGCACTAAAATAAGCACCTGAAAAGCTCAAAAAACTGCTTCCCTGTGTATGTGAATGTATATGTATGCATGTTTTCACAATGAGTCGTTGCGCTTGTGGTACGGTGTAAAAACTCCTGCTTGCAGCATCTTTGGGGAGTTTAAAAAAAAAAAAAAAAATACCCCAAAAATGCCTCTTCCCATTGAAATCAGTGGAAAATGCCTGGAAAACACCTGAGATGTGTTTTTGGAGCAGGTTTTAAGTCACGTGTCCTTAAAAACGCCCAGAAATCATGGCAAACACACCTATGCAGTGAAATTTCATGGATGGACTTATTGCACAGCTGGCAACCTATTACGGTACCACACTTCAATTCAGTGTGCTCCCATTCTTTCACAAATGTTTGTAGAAGCAGTCTGCATGCCTAGGTACTTGATTTACACACCTGTGGCCATGGAGGTAATTGGAACACCTAAATCCAATGATTTGGAATGGTGTTCCAATACTTTGGGCAATATATTGTGTATATATATATATATATATACATATACACATATAATATATATACATACACACACACACACACACACACACACACACACACTATAAAGTGTTAAAATGTCAGGTTTCTGTGATGTGAAAAAATGAGAAAGATGAATCATTTCAGAACTTTTCCACCTTTACTGTAACCTATAAACTGAACAACTCAGTTGAACAACTGAAATCTTTTAGGTGAAGGAAAGTAAAAATAAACTAAAATAATATGGTTGCATAAGTGTGCACACCCTAAACTAATACTTTGTTGAAGCACCTTTTGATTTTATTACAGCAGTCTTTTTGGGTATGAGTCTGTCAGCATGGCACATCTTGACTAGGCAATATTTGCCCATTCTACCTTACAAAAACACTCCAAATCTGTCAGATTGCAAAGGCATCTCCTGTGCACAGCCCTCTTCAGATCAACCCACAGATTTATCGGATTCAGGTCTGCACTCTAGCTGGGCCAATCCAAAACCTTAACCTTCTTCTGGTGAAGCCATTCTTTTGTTGATTTGGATGTATGCTTTGGGTCGTTGTCATGCCGAGAGATGAAGTTCCTCTTCATATTCAGCTTTCTAGCAGAAGCCTGAAGGTTTTGTTCCAATATTGACTGGTATTTGGAACTGTTTATAATTCCCTCTACATTGACTAAGGCCCCAGTTCCAGCTGCAGAAACACAGCCCCAAAGCATGATGCTGCCACCACCATGCTTCACTTTGGGTATGGTGTTCTTAAGATGATGTGCAGTGTTGTTTTTTTGCACCAAACATATCTTTTGGAATTATAGCCAAAAAGTTCAACCTTGGTCTCATCAGACCATAACACATTTTCCCACATGCTTTTGCAAAATTTATCCGGGCCTGGATGTTTTTCTACGTAAGAAAAGGCTTCCGTCTCAACACTTTACCCATAGCCCAAACATATGAAGAATATAGGAGATTATTTTCACATGTACCACACAGCCAGCAGTTGCCGGATATTCCTGCAGCTCCTTTAATGTTGCTGTAGGACTCTTGGCAGCCTCCCAGACCAGTTTTCTTCTCATCTTTTCATCAATTTTGGAGGGACGTCCAGTTCTTGATAATGTCACTGTTGCGCCATATTTTCTCCACTTGATTTTGACTGTGTTCCATGGTATAGCTAATGCCTTGGAAATTCTTTTGAACCCTTCTCCTGACTGATACCTTTTAACAATGAGATCCCTCTGATGCTTTGGAAGCTGAAGACCATGGCTTTAGGATGTGACTAAGAAAATTTCAGGAAAGACCTACTAGAACAGCTGAACTTTATTTGGGGTTAATCAGAGGCACTTTAAATGAAGGCAGGTGTGTACTGACCCCTATTTAACATGATTTTGTATGTGATTGCTTAAAGCAGAGTTCCAGTCACCGGTCAAAAAATAGAAGTCAGCAGCTGCAAAAACTGTCACTTACCTGCCCCTCGGTGTGTCCCCTGCAGCCCGTTTTTACTGGCCGTCCTGGATTTCAGGAGGCCGGCATCTTCAGTGTGGGCACCCGGCTGTGATAGCTTGCGGCTTCACAGCCAGGTACCCATTGTGCATGCGTGAGTAGCACTGCACTTCATGAATGGTCCTGTAGTCTTCTGGGACCTGTCACATGTCCCACAAGACTAAAGCTCCGCTTTAATTCTGAAAACAGCTACATCTCCAGTTATAAGAGGGTGAGCACACTTATGCAACCACATTATTTTAGCTTTACCCCCCCCCCCCCCAAAAAAAAATTGTTTGTTTTTCAATTGAGTTGTATAGTTTATAGGTCACATTAAAAAGGTGGAAAAAGTTCTGAAATGATTTATCCTTGTGCCATTTTTTTACATCACAGAAACCTAACATTTTAACAGGGGTGTGTAGACTTCTTATATCCACTGTACATACATACACAATATACAGTATATAAAATATTACACAAGTGGAAGTCATAGAAAGAATAAGGCCCTTGTGATGGTGTCACAGTGCATGTAGCTCCAGAGCAAATAAACAGCAAGATGAGCACACATTCTTTATAGAGCTTAGTCATGTTTTAGTCTACATAGAGAAAAATAAAATCCAAACCTTTTCTTTTTTTCAGAGAAAGATGGCTGGTCTGGTAGGTGAACATGATTCTCCTTAGCATATTCAACCACAAGTGTGTGACCCAACACTGTGAGTTGGTGTAGTACTGAAACAGCCTGTAAACGAACAGTGTGAGGCAACTTCAGAGTGCTTGTTCATTTAAAATAGATTATAAACCACAAAGTTTAGTTGCTTGCAATAAAATTTTAGATACTTTATATGAGAAGAGAAAGAAAGGAAAGAAAGGAAAGAAGGAAAGAAAGGAAGGAAGGAAGGAAGGAAAGGAAGAAAGGAAAGGAAGGAAGGAAGGAAAGGAAAGGAAGGAAAGAAAGAAAGAAAGAAAGAAAAAGAAGGAAGGAAAGAAAGAAAGGAAGGAAGGAAAGAAAGAAAGGAAGGAAGGAAAGAAAGGAAGGAAGGAAAGAAAGGAAGGAAGGAAGGAAAGAAAGGAAGGAAGGAAAGGAAAGGAAGGAAGGAAAGAAAGGAAGGAAGGAAGGAAAGGAAGGAAAAGGAAGGAAGGAAGGAAAGGAAAGGAAGGAAGGAAGGAAGGAAAGAAAGGAAGGAAGGAAAGAAAGGAAGGAAGGAAGGAAAGGAAGGAAGGAAGGAAGGAAGGAAGGAAGGAAAGAAAGGAAGGAAGGAAGGAAGGAAGGAAAGAAGGAAAGGAAAGAAAGGAAGGAAAGAAAGGAAGGAAGGAAAGAAAGGAAGGAAGGAAAGAAAGGAAGGAAGGAAGGAAGGAAAGAAAGGAAGGAAGGAAGGAAAGGAAGGAAGGAAGGAAAGAAAGGAAGGAAAGAAAGGAAGGAAAGAAAGGAAGGAAAGAAAGGAAGGAAAGAAAGGAAGGAAAGAAAGGAAGGAAAGAAAGGAAGGAAAGAAAGGAAAGGAAAGAAAGGAAAGAAAGAAGGAAAGGAAAAAGAAAGAAAGAAAGGAAGGAAGGAAGGAAAGAAAAGAAAGAAAGGAAAGAAAGGAAAGAAAGGAAAAAAGTAGACATTTCCATAACCATGGCTGCACAGCTTTTCAAGGCTGACACTTAAAACACCTTACCTTGCTATGCCAATTATGCATCATAAGAAATCTGTACTGACAAAAACTGATGACCTTCTAAAATGCCACTTGCCTAGCTGGCTCAACTTTAAGTACCATCAGTTTCCAGCCCCCACATCACTACTGGTTCTGTAGTAACATAGGTGTCAGAGGATGAAATCACAATGCACAGTAGGAGACATAGGCATCCACAAATCTGAACGTGTTAAATGCTTAAAGCTGTTGTAAAAGCTATCAGTTTTTTTTTACCTTACTACTGCATTCCCTGCATTAAGGTAAGAAACCTTCACTAACTGTCCTCCCCCAATCCCTGAACACTTACCCCCCTCCTCTCATGATCTTGCACTGTCCCTAGCTGTGTCTCTTCTCCCTTCACTTCCTGTTCTCACAGGAGACACAGGCAGCAGCAGAGCCATAGGCTCTTGCTGCTGTCAATCAAATCCCATGGAGAAGGAATAGGGGCGTGGCCAAGCCATGATGTGTGTGTCCATATACACACACAGCCTGTCTTGTGAGCGATCCTTCATGGGCGTTCTAATTGCACAGGGCTTGCTATGGAAGAAAATATCCTTTAGAGTCACTAAGATTCTGATGGAGGCTATAGAGCTTCATCAGGGCAAAGCTAGGACAAAGAAGCCATTGAAGGATAAGTATTATATCCCATCTTTAGCAGAAAAGTTGTCAAGGTTTTAACCACTTGCCATCCAGGTCAATTTTGACATTTCTCACATATATATGTTAAAATCAGAAGTTATATTTTTATGACAGCCAAGGCTCTGTAGAATAAAATGGTGGCTGTTTCAATTTTATATGTCATACTACATTTGCACAGCCATTTATCAAACGCAAATTTTCAGGAAATCACACACTTAATTTTAGCGCACTCAAAACACAATACCCATTCTGTGGTAAAAGATGATATTGCACCAAGTAAATAGATACCAAATGTGTCAAGATTTAAAATTGCACACACCTGTGAAGTGGCAAACTATGGTACTTAAAATTATACATAGGCTACGCTTTAAAAGCCTTTACAGGGTACCAGATTAAAGTTCAACATGAGCTCTGTCTCTCTGATGTTCGTGGCGATACCAATTTGTGGTGCAATTGCCGTTTACATATGGGTGGGGGACCTATGTGCACATTTGCATTTGTACGTGTGCACAGGGGGGTGGGAGTGCCACAATCCTGGTATAACCACTCGGTCCTGTGGCAGTATACAGTATATACATCATAAAGACAGGAAGTGGTTAAAAAGAAGAAACCTGTAGTGGGAAAGCATCAATACTGCCATTTCTGACTTCTCCTTTCTGAATATACTACTTACCCAGCTGTTTGCCTTGATCTAATGGCTTCCATAATCTCTGAGTCCGTGACCTGAACCAAGTATGAATATCAGGAGTCCCCATGTCACTCACAATTTTCTCATCTGCCTGTTTGTTCCACATCTGTGTTTACTATGGTATGCATAGATAACACGCTTCCTATAATGCACTTACTAGTTAGTCTTTGAGCAAGACATGCAGTATAAAAAAACAGGAAAATTATACCTTTGCAGCTGCAAATTCATTTGGGTAGGTTGCAAAAGCCACATATTTCTGGAAAGAAATAAAAAAAACAAAGTTTAGAAGGTTGACAGATCTGAGATGACATTTTCAGCATTTACTTTCTGATCACTGGAAATTCCAACCGGCAGGCTAGTTTTTCTAGTGCTATCCTCTTTCCAGTTATTTTCTTTACTGCATTGTTTGGTCAACACATGAAAGGAATCTTATATTAAGCTCAGATAAAGTATTTAATGCAACACAAAAATAAGCTCTTATTGTTCAATATGCACAAGAGAGGGCGTGAGCAAGAGGGGAAAAGCTTTTATGATGAGGGGCATGACGATGCCTCCTTACCGCCTGATTTAACTCTGTAAATGCTGCACCACAGTTGTGTGCAATGCATGGATAATGCACAGACCTGCATGGGAAGCATTCTGTGGCAGAAACACCCACCAAATTCAACATGCTGCTTATTTCTTGCAGTGGCGCACAGCATGGCAACTGTGGCATATGTACAGCTCTGGGCAGCTGCATGTCTGTGTTCAGGAGGGCAGTTGGCAGGAGGGAGGAGTTAGAAAAGGGGAAGGAGAAAGAAAGATTAAGGTTGGCTCTAATACCTTCAACTTGAGGTTCTGAGGGTCCCATACACTGCCTGCTAGCCTTTAACCACTTCCCGTCCGGCCGTTGTATATAAACGGCCAGATGGTGGCAGTGCAGGGTCGGGTGTCCATTTATAAACGGCCTCCTTGCACCCTGCTTGTGCGCACTGAGCGTGCAGCACTGCGATGCGTTGTCCGCTGTGTCCTCCGGACACAGTGGAACACCAATCGTCGGACGGGACCTCTGTGCGAGGTCCCAATCATGTGATCACTGATTGGCCAATCAGTGATCACATGCAGAGTAGTAAGCAAGATGTCACTTCTGACATCATTGCTTACTACATGTGAAATCTGTGAATGATCACAGAGGTCACATGGTACAAGGTTATTCACAACAGCCTTGTACTATGTGACAAGCTGTGACCAATCACAGCTCACACAGTAGTTCTCAATGGCTGCCAGAATGCAGCCAGAAAGAAGGAGAAATGATTGCTTTTACAACCTTTATGGGTGTAAAAGCAATCAGTGTAAAAAAAAAAAATCATCACCCCCCACAAGTAGTACAGTGTCACCATGGTGACACTGTACTGTTGGGTGACTGTATGTAAAAAAAAAAACAAATATAAAAAAATGTAAAAAAAAAAGTTTAAAAATTATAATTTTTGGTTATAAACGAATTTAGGTTATTTTTTTTACTAAAAAGATAACGGAATAAATTTTGGCCAAGATTTATGATGAAATACTATTTGCAAAATTTAATAAGAAAAACACTTTCAAAATTTTTGGACATTTTCATTTATATAGCAAAAAAAATAAAAATTCCAGTGGTGAATAAAAATACCACCAAAATAAAGCTTTATCTGTCTCAAAAAAATGCTAAAAAATTCATATTGGTAAAGTGTTGCATGACCGCGCAATTGTCATTCAAAGTGTGATATCACTAAAAGCTGAAAATTGGCCTGGACAGGAAGGGAGTAAAAGTGTCTGGACTGGAAGTGGTTAAATACCTCCACACACTATCACAAGCTTCTGATAGCACAGGATTCTAATTACCCCACATACTATATTCAGATTCTGATGGCTCCTTGGCACCCCCTCCTAGATTTTAATTACCCCACAAACTACCTTTGGCTTCTTGATGGCCCTGTGGCACCTCCCATTACATACTATTTATTTGACACATTAACACCAGTCTCTGATGGTTCCATGGCACTGCTCACTATATTCTAAACATCCCACAGAGTACTTCCAGCTTCAGGTGGCCTCCTTTTTGTGCTCATGAACTAAACTAGCTCACATACAACTGCTGACTCATAATGGTTCCATGACATTGCACACTAGATTATAATACCCGCTCATACTGCCACAGCTCTGCAGTCCTATTCATTCTTATGGGGCTTTTTAGTACAAGGGTGCCATTACACGTTAAAACAACCATTTCATTTTATTTAAAAAACAAAAAAGTGCAAAGCATTACTACTTAAAGAAAACACACTAAATACTTACCTCTCAAGTGGGTGACAAATCCACAGCATACTCTTTTTGAGCTGTATAGTCTCTAGCAAAGTCTTAAAATGGAACCAAAGGCAGGAAAACTTCTATTCCAATGGTACCCCACTTCCTTGCTGGCATCTTTTCCCTGGCTTCTTCTGGATGCTGATCAGCACAGGAAGTCACTACTGCACATGCATCCCTGCACACCGACACCGGGACTACCAGAACTGTAAACGGAGCTGTGCATGAGCACTTCAATTCCGCTTTAGATGCTTAACCACTTGCCCTCCAGTGGATTTACCCCCCTTCCTGACCAGGCCATTTTTTGCATTATGCCGCTGAGTTACTTTAACTGACTATTACGCAGTCATGCAAGGCTGCACCCAAAATAAATGTGTGTCTTTTTTCCCCATGAATTGAGCTTTCTTTTGGTGGTATTTGATTGCCTGTGCAGTTTTTATTTTTTGCGCTATAAAAAAAAAAAAAAAGACACAATTTTGAGAAAAAACACTCAAAGTGCGACAGTGCGGAAAGCTGGAAATTGGCCTGGACAGGAAGGGGGTATAAGTGCCCTGTAGGCTAGTGGTTAACTACATGCTGCCCAGCCACTGTACATATACGGCGGCGCAGGGTGGCACTGGCAGGCAAAACGACATTTTAAAAACGTGTGTTTTGTAAACAAATAGGGGGCGCGCGCGAGGCGCGCCGCCGCCCTATCTGTCCCGTGGATCACCGCCGCAGATGTCAGTCACCGGGTCACAGCCGCTCCTTAGCGGCTATGTCCCGACGACCGGCGGCAAACAGTGACAGAGAGCACAGCTGCAGTAGCTGTGCTGTCTGTCACTTCCCTGTCAGCTCGAGGATGAGCTGATCGAGAAAGAACAGTTTCTCTTTCTCGATCAGCCTTGTCCCGTCCAGTGCACACCCCCGCCCCCTAGTAAAACACTCCCCTCACTCCTATAACCCTTCCCTGCAAAATAAAGTTAACCCCTTCCTCCCCATTGCCATTAGTACAGTGTCAGTTTTTTTTTTTTTTTTGCACTGATCACTGTATTAGTGTTTTTGGGGATGTCAGTGACCCCAAGTCAGTACCCCCCCAATGTCAGAATGTCTGCTGCAGTCCCGCCATAAGTCGCTGGTGGCTGCCATAAGTCACTGATCGCCGCCATAATTCACTGATCGCCATCATTAGTATAAAAAAAAAACAACTAAAAATCCCAGTATCTTTCCCGCCATTTGTAAACGCTATAACTTTAATGTAAACCAATTAATTTACACGTATTGGTTTTTTTTTTAGCAAAGACATGTCGCAGAATGCATTTTGGCAGAAATTTATGACTAAATTTGATTTTTGCATTTTTTTTTTTTACTGGGCATGTTTTATAGCAAAAAGTCCAAAATATTGTTTTTTTTTCCTCAAAATTGTCAGCCTTTTTTTTTATAGCGCAAAAAATAAAAACCGCACAGGCGATCAAATACCACCGAAAGAAAGCTCAATTTGTGGGGGAAAAAAAAGGATGTAAATTTCATTTTTGTATCATATTGCATGACCGCGCAATTGTCCGTTAAACTAGCGCAGCGCTGTATAGCAGAAAAATGGCATAAATTGCAGTATCTATACCATAGTTTGTAGACGCTATAACTTCCACACAAAGCAATCAATATACACTCATTGGGATTTTTTTTACCAAAAACATGTAGCAGAATACATTTTGGCCTAAATTTATAACCAACTTTGAGTTTACTATATATTTTGTATAGCTGAAAATAAAAAAATATTGATTTTCTTCAAAATTTTTGGCTTTTTATTGTTTATAGTGTGAAAAATAAAAAGCGCACAGGTGACCGAATTACACCGAAAGAAAGCTCTATTTGTGTGAAAAAAAGGACGTAAATTTCGTTTGGGTGCAGCATTGCATGACCGCGCAATTATCAATTGAATTAGTGCAGCGCTGAGTAGCAAAAAAAGAGGCCTGGTCATTAAGGGGGGTAAATCCTCTGGAGGGCAAGTGGTTAAGAAGTGATATATATTCGTAACTGGAGTGCATTGGTAATCCTCCACTGTACACATAGAAGGGGCCATGGCTGTATACACGGTGTCTGTGCTCCCTCTTACCAGGCTCCCCCTCGTCCTCCCTGAACACAGGCGCACACTGTCCGCTCCGCTCTTCTCCAGCAGCTCTCTCTGCTCCTGCGGACTCAGCTCAGTTGGAAGATGCCGAACCAGCAGCGTCCTCCTCCCTCCCGCATCCATCTCTATAGTCGTCTAAAACTACAAACACAACTTCCGCCCAAACAGAAAGGACTTCCTCATGAAACATCGCGTGACTTGAGCCGCCATCTTTTTACCGAAGAGAGCCTTGCCATCCCCCGCAGCCATATTACCGGCAGTAGTACGCTTGTGCCCCCTCATGGTTATTGCGAGAAGTGCACCGTAGAGCCTCCAGTTACACTTTACAGCAGGGAGTGAGGTATGCACATAGTGGCGATCAGCTGGACTACAGCTGTGTGCTTCTGTGGCGAGGCGCTGGATGGAATTGTGACCATGTGCTCCTTAACCACCTGCCCTCCAGAGGATTTACCCCCCTTCCTGACCAGGCCATTGTTTACAATATGACGCTGTGTTACTTTAACTGACAATTGCGCGGTCATGTAATGTTGTACGTGAATTAAATTTATGTTTTTTTCCCTAACAAATAGAGCTTTCTTTTGGTGGTATTTGATCACCTCTGTGTTTTTTATTTTTGGCTTTACTTTTTGCTGGAAAACATCCAGTACAAAAATTTTACAAATCAAATGTCATCTTAAATTTAGGCCAAAATGTATTCTGCTACATGTCTTTGCTAAAAAATATCCCAATACATGTAAATTAATTGGTTTCCATGAAAGTCTTTAGATTGTACCCTCCTTGAGAGTTAGGCACTGATGTGAATGTACAATATATATACTGTATATATGTAAAGCGCTGCGTAAATTGACGGCACTATATAAGTACCTAAATAAATAAAGTTATAGCGTCTAAAAATGGCCAGTATATATACTGGAATTATATATATAATATTAGTAATGGCGGTGATCAGTGACTTACTACGGGACTGTGGCAGGTATGCTGACACTGGGTGGGAACTAACTGCCATTGACATCCCAATGACACTAATACAGTGATCAGTGCTAATATAAAGCACTGACACTGTACTGACACTGGGCAGGAAGGGGTTACCATCTGGGGCAATCAAAGGGTTAACTGTGTGCTGTTTTACGTTATGTGCTGTGTGTGTTTTACTAGGGAGACACGCTACTTTGTATTTCTCTGCTGTGCCAAGAAATACAAAGCTGCATGTCCTTGCTGGCAGGAGAGAGACCTGTGCTGTTTACACACAGGTCTCTCTCCTGTCAGCTTTCCCTGACAATCGCCGGGTGTCAGCGGGGAATCTCCGGCCGGAACCCGGTGACTGACATCCCTAGCTGCCAATGTCGCTGCAGGTAGGGATGTCAGTACTAACAGACAGCATCTCCAAGCCTGACCCATGACAGTAAGGTTTATTGTGTATGCAGGCAGAGGTGACTCTAGATTTGATGAGGTCTTAAGCAAAATTTAGACATGAGGCCCCCATCCGTCTGTCCATCCGTCAGCTAAGCAGCAGGTCTTCCCAGATTGAGATCCTCATGCGGTGGATGGGAGGGCTGATGTGCTCAGACGCAATGTCACTCCTCATTGGCTGGTGGTCGGAACTCCAGAAGTTTTAGGTTATGGGGCTCTTAATCCTGCCTGCGCACAGCAGCATTAACCAGTACGGCTGCAGAACAATTTTTTTATTTTTTGCATACATATAATAATCTCAATTTTTGGCAATAAAACTACTTAAACCCCCAGGCACTGTAGAATAAAAAAGGGATATTTGCACATTTTTATGTCACATGATATTTACAAACTGTTTATTAAAAACAACTTTTCAGGACAAAATATATTGAAATTAATTTTAGTGCAAAAACACACAATAGAATACCCATTTTTTGTTAAAATATAAAAGATGAGCTTTTGAGAAAATAGATATCATGCATTTTATGTCTTAATATTGTGTGCACCCACAATATCGCCAAACACTACGATGCCCAAAAATCACAATAGGTGACCCTTTAAAAGCCTTTGCAGCTCATCAATTTAGAGTTAACTAGGAGCTCTTGTACTAGAATTATTCTCACTTTGACGTCTGCAGCGATATGCCACACATGTGGTGCGACCGTGGTTTACATACACATGCACACCCTGGGCTTGCATTTGCGCAGGTGTGTGGGGCAGCAGGGGTTACAACAATTAAAAAAAAAATGTTATGTATTTTATTATTTTATTTTTTAAACTTTTTATTTTTTTTAAATGTTTTACTTGATTGCTATCACAAGGGGTTAATAAACCCTCATCTGATAGCATTGGGCAGGTGACAGGTGCTCTCTGGAGACATTAGGGGTCTAATAGACCCAAAGGTCTGCCTCCTGCTCTTCACACCATCTAACCAAACAGAGATCGGCTTGGTTAGTTGTGTCCCCTGGCTGTACTGGCCACGAAAGGGTGCATCTGATCTGACATCACTTCCGGTTTCACTGTGTGCATGTGAGATCGGGGCTTGGATTTTCCACAATCTCACAATGTTCTCCCTCCCCTAGCTGGCGGATGTATTCCCGGGCTCCGGTAAGAGTGGGAGGGGGGGCACTATGCTACCAACTCAGTGAAAGTGATCGGCAACAATAGAGCTGCCGCATCACTTTCACTTTCCAGCCGGCAGCCAGCTGCGTTCGGCATATTAGGCATTAGCCTAATTAGAAAGCTGCCTCTGCATGCATGAAAGCCTCATTCCTTGAATGGCCTTGGAGCCCGAAATACAAATGTAGGGATCCGCTGCCCTCTATTGTCAGATGTTTGTATCACATTGTAATGTATGATTATGTATATTACTTCCTGACTTTGAAGTTGTTGGGGAAAAGATCCAGGAAGGAGAAAGTGGAGAAAAGTACTTCAATGTGCTAATAATTTAATTGCAGCTGCCCATAACGTTTTGGATGTATTGCTGAATTCTTGTGATAGAGTATCTCTGTCCTATTACTATTACACATCCACAGCGCCAGATAACTAGGAATGCATTGCAGGCTGGTTGGGTAACGGCTGGAGGGTCTCCTCATCACCACAGATCTTGCTTTTAGGTCTCTGACATAAAGAATGACTCTGCATCATCCTCTGGGTCCCTGCAACATTCATTTGGAGGGATCTCTATATAATTACTATATACAGGTGAAACTCGAAAAATTAGAATATCGTGCAAAAGTTCATTTACTTCAGTAATGCAACTTAAAAGGTGAAACTAATATATGAGATAGACTCATTACATGCAAAGCAAGATAGTTCAAGCCGTGATTTGTCATAATTGTGATGATTATGGCTTACAGCTCATGAAAACCCCAAATCCACAATCTCAGAAAATTAGAATATTACATGCAATCAATAAAACAAGGATTGTACATAGAACAATATCGGACCTCTGAAAAGTTTAAGCATGCATATGTACTCAGTACTTGGTTTGGGCCCCTTTTGCAGCAATTACTGCCTTAATGCGGCGTGGCATGGAAGCTATCAGCCTGTGGCACTGTTGAGGTGTTATGGAAGACCAGGATGCTTCAATAGCGGCCTTCAGCTCTTCTGCATTGTTCAGTCTCATGTCTCTCATCTTTCTCTTGGCAATGCCCCATAGATTCTCTATGGGGTTCAGGTCAGGCGAGTTTGCTGGCCAATCAAGCACAGTAATCCCACGGTCATTAAACCAGGTTTTGCCAAGTGCCAAGTCCTGCTGAAAAATGAAGTCAGCATCCCCATACTGCTCATCTGCAGAAGGAAGCATGAAGTGCTCCAAAATTTCCTGGTAGATGGCTGCATTGACCCTGGACTTAAAGAAGCACAGTGGACCAACACCAGCAGATGACATGGCTCCCCAAATCAACACAGACTGTGGAAACTTCACACTGGACTTCAAGCATCTTGCAGTGTGTACCTCTCTATTCTTCCTCCATACTCTGGGTCCTTGGTTTCCAAATGAGATGCAAAAGTTGCTCTCATCAGAAAAGAGGACTTTGGACCACTGAGCAACAGACCAGGTCTGTTTTTCTTTAACCCAGGTAAGACGCTTCTGATGTTGTTTGTTGTTCAGGAGCGGCTTGACAAGAGGAATACGACATTTGAAGCCCATTTCCAGGATCCATCTGTGTGTGGTGGCTCTTGATGCACTGACTCCAGCCTCAGTCCACTCCTTGTGAAAGTCCCCAACACTTTTGAATGGCCTTTTCCTGACAATCCTCTCCAGGCTGCGGTCATCCCTGCTGCTTGTGCACCTTTTTCTTCCACACTTTTCCCTTCCACATAACTTTCTATTAATGTGCTTTGATACAGCACTTTGGAAACATACAACTTCTTTTGCAATTACCTTTTGAGACTTTCCCTCTTTATGGAGGGTGTCAATGATGGTTTTCTGCACAGCTGTCAGGTCAGCAGTCCCATGATTTCCCTGATTGTGATTCCTACTGAACCAGACTGAGAGACCATTTAAAGGCTCAGGAACCCTTTGCAGGTGTTATGGCTTAATTAGCTGATTGATTAGCGTGGGACACTTTGAGCCGAGAATATTGCACCTTTTCACAATATTCTAATTTTCTGAGATTGTGGATTTGGGGTTTTCATGAGCTGTAAGCCATAATCATCACAATTATGACAAAACACGGCTTGAACTATCTTGCTTTGCATGTAATGAGTCTCATATATTAGTTTCACCTTTTAAGTTGCATTACTGAAATAAATGAACTTTTGCATGATATTCAAATTTTTTGTGTTTCACCTGTATACACAATTCCTCTAGGACTCGCATCTGGCCCTTTGCTTATATGATCCGTTTGTACAATGAATATATGTACTTAATTATACCTCTCTGTTCACTGAGGCCCTGCCCTAGGTGGAGGCACTGGCACCTTTATTATCAATCCCACTCTTCCACTTAGCAAAGGTTCTGGTTCTCCTATTTATCTACAGGTCTATTGAAATATCCTGTTTGAGGAGGACCATTTCTCACAACTTCCCAAAAGTTGGCTATACCAATTTAATCTATCCAGCTGAATAATGTTTTCAAACATCCTTAGGTTACCATGAATAAATCTTCAATAATTAAACTTTAAATTGGGGTTTATTGTAAATTAATAACATTTTGAACATGTGATCTA